CTTGTGCCCATTGGTTATGGTGTAGGAACCATTATTTAACCAATAAAAACCATTATTATTATTATTATTATTATTATTAATAGGTACTTGTTTTCGTTAAAAAATATTAAATATTGATGAAATACTTCACTTTCTTTAATTATAATTACGGCGACCAGAACGTAGGTGAGCCTAAACACTGTAGACGTCTCGCTCTATCGAGTTACTCTTTATGTGCTAAACTAAAATGGAATGACAATCTTTAACGGCGTCTGCTGGACAATCGCCGCCACTTGGATCGTCTGCCATATTCGATAAAGATATAACTCAACATTGTGCATCGAATGGAACATGTCCCATCCTGGAAGAAATTATGTGATTTCTCGATATGTTGTCCAAATTTGAGCACGCACCCTACTCCTACGCTGCCAATCTAACCCGGTAGACAGCCGATTTAACTGTGCATGTACTTTTAAATAAAAATAGTGAACCTTTGGAATAATGTCAGGTGCTATAATGTTTGCTAGCTCTCGGACTATTACATCAATAGCATACTACCTGAATCATGCTTTATAAATATGCATCTTTCCAGCTACACACTAATGCAGGATCCGCTCATTTCTAATCAAAATTGACTAAAACAACACATCCTTCTTACAAGCATGTTTTGTATAAATAACCATTGTTATGAATTATAAAACAAAGGGCCTTTCGCAGGACCGACGCGTCGTCAACACGCGCCATTTAGGCTATTAATTATTACTAACAGTAAATTCTTGCCTAAAACGGCAGTTTCGTTGAAATGCTTTGACCGAGACAAATTTTGCATATTCAATATTTTAGTAATCTACAGCTGCTTTAAAAGGTGAACGAAGTGAAAATAATCAGTATCATTTTTAATGCACATTCCCTGGAAAATATTTGCAAAAGAATTCAGCTGCTGACATATTTGGACATGATAACACTTTAAATTTACAGATGTATCCGCATTGTGATTTAACAGCAGAATACAGCAATTTTTCGAATATAAATGGCCTGCGTAAACGGGATAGCAGAAAGGAGCTGATATTTGTGTTGTGTATAGTGATTCATTATTTTTATCATTCTACCCCTTGTGGTTACGGGGATGCAGTTATTTTTATGCCATCGCTCACACTGTTGGGAGTAAAATTCGGAAGAAGGATTCTTGTGTTTACTTGCCAAATTGGATATGTGTCTCTTAAACCTTTCACCTGAAGTGTGTAAGCTGTAAACTACAGTGTTCCACTTTAGCGACTTTGTGATTTAAGTGCTTCGTGTACAGGGTACTTAAATTTTGATCATATTTTATTTCACACAGTTAAAGAAAGTTCGAAACGTTTCACATCAAAGCGCGCAGATTAGATTTTATAGACTGTCGTAAGTAGGCACATCAAAGTACTTCGATATTTTGTACTGTTGACGGTCGTAAACCGATGCGAATATTTGATATAGTAAGAAAACAAAATAAAAGAACCCCGCTATATAATGGCAAATAAAATTTCTGCTTCCCCTTGCACTTGCGCTGCTATATGAGAGGATATAATTCGGTCGTAAATAATGTTACTAAAATATTTACGCGAATCGGCGTTAAAACCGTATTTGAAAATAAATATTTTCATATAATCCCGTAGCGCCCTCCGCATAATTAGCTCGGACACTAAAATAAAACAATAAAATCAGTTCAAACGGCACTGCAACGTAATTTAATTAATTCGAAAAAGTTCTTTACGAAGTAGCTTTAAAATATCCCCGTTGTATTACAAGCGAAACTTTGTACAAAAATGTGATGCGAACAAGTCACGAGTAGTTAAAAGTTAGAAGTATCCGCCACTTTAATTAACATACGAAAAACCTAAATGAAATTTATTTCTTTCTGCTTACTTTTTATTTAGATTTTATTTTTATACATTTCTCTTTGCCACCCCCTATCGTAGTTGGGATTCATTCGACTTTCTACGCACGGTGCGTTTAAATAGTTCTATTTACTTTATATTTCAACATCTATGGATTTGCATATAGGTCGCCGTATGATATACCGTTCCGTTCAACAGAATCAAGAGAACATGCAATAAAGGAAAGGTTACCATGCGTTTCTAAATTTCGATCTGTTTTATTTATTTCCGTACCTATCGGATATTGCTGAAGAATTAGATCTTCCCGTTGAGATGCATAAAATGCCATCTAAAAGAACTAGACGCAAACGGGCGTTATTTGATTACGAGGGAACAGATTAAGCATCGAACGATCCTGAAGAAAGCGTAGTACTCCCTACTATTTTTACTAATGCTATCAAAGGTATTTCACTACCGGGACCTAGTAAATCAACCCGAAGACCGTAAAAAGATTTTTCGGAGTCCAGCACCAAAACAAAAAGAAGACGAATGCAGAGATCTCGATGGCAACTTACCCAGGTAGCACACTCACGTCACGTCATGTAGACGTTAGATATTGGTAACTTTTGGTCAATGACGTCACTTTCCCTAATGGGTATGTCTTGTTGAAGTCATTTAGAAAACGTCAAAATGACGTCAGTGTGATGACGTCTTATTTTGGTTCCATATTCGTGAGTTAATTAAAGGATTATTTCGAATGGACTACCAAATTATAATTAAATTAAATAATTGGTAAATAGTTGGTAATTACTAACTACCAAAGGTCAAAAGTCTAAAATGCCGGCACTGTTACTTAAGCTTCCCGCGCATTTACGTTGCGCACATCATTGTGCGTCGCATCGCATGGTAACCTCCCGGGCGGCGACTGCATGGTCTGTGGTGACTGCCATTTCCCATTTCAATTAATGCACGTGCTCAACGTGTTTTATTCTTTTTCCACGATAAAAATAAAAACTTCAAATGCTTCAAATTTGAGGTTAATAGTGAAAAACTGTTTTAAGTGTTAAGCAGCTACATTATGTAAGTATGTATTCAGAATAGGTATCAACATAATTTGCTTAACTTTTAGAATGTCATTCATAGGTGTGCAATTTGAAGAGGGAGAAACTATCGCAATTGTGAATAAAAGTTGATTGACGCCAAGAAAGCAGGAGGTGTTTTGGCCACCTTACAAAACACAAGAACAATACTATCGTTCTTTAAAAAACCACGAAGCGCCATCCGAAATCACTTGGAAATTATATAAAGTTTCACGTATTTTTTTTAAGAGGGTAAGTGTAGCTGCATGTGATGGTTCAATAGTAGGTAATAGCAATGTCGATTTTAATTGTAGATGATTATGAGAAAGCTTTACAAAAAATTAAATTAACAGAAGTGACGTCTGATGTACAAACAGATAATGGCCCGTATGAATAAAAGTAAGCAAGTAAGCACATCCCCGAAGGCTGTCCTGTGGCTGTACACTGCCGTGATTAGACCTATGTTCTGTTATGGAGCAATTGTCTGGTGGCCTAGAACCAGACTCTCCACAACTGCAGCACTCCTTAATCATGTGCAAAGACTAGCGTGCCTTGCCTGCACAGGCGCGATGCGAACGACCCCCACAGCCGTCATGGAGGCCCTCTTGGATCTGCCTCCACTAGATCTCCACGTGAGAGAGCAGGCCATTCTGGCATTCCTGCGTCTGAAAAATAAGGGGTTGTTGAATAGCAGAGGCATTGAGGGGGGCCACTCCCGAATTCTGGGCGAGGCGATCAAACGTCTGCCTATCCTAGAGGGGAGATCGGACTCACTCACTCCTCAATTCATATTAGGGAAAAACTATCACATCTTCTTTGATGAGAATATGGCATCCCAACCAGATATATTCATCTTCACGGATGGATCTAAGACAATGGAAGGAACAGGCACTGGTATTTACTCCAAAGAACTGAACTTCCATATCACCCAACCACTAGGTAAACTCCCTACTGTATTCCAGTCAGAGTTGGTAGGATTAACGCTTAGTGCAAGAACAGTTCTTATGCATAACATAAAGAACAAAACTATCAGAATCTCAAGGGACAGCAGGGCTGCCTTGCAGTCACTTGGTCACTGTAAAATTACCTCTAGGATGGTTTCCGAATGTCACCACGTACTAGAGCAAGTAGCAAGCAGCAACACCCTGAGCTCGTATGGGTCAAAGGGCATGCTGGAACGGAAGGTAATGAGAAAGCCGATAAATTAGCCCGACTGGCCTCAAAACAGGCGTTTTATGGTCCAGAGCCGGCTCTTCCACTTACAGTTAAAACTGTAAACAACCTAATAACTCAAGACACCCAAACCCAGCACAGGGCTAGGTGGAACTTGATGTTAGATTGTCGCCATGCGAGAGAAGCCTTCAGAGGACCATCTTGTAGCTTGGCGCGTTTTTGTACAGGGCTATCAAGGAAGAACCTGAGGTTACTCGTGGGCATACTTTCTGGGCACTGTAAACTAAACAAGCACATGCACTGCATGGGTTTGGTGGAATCACCATCTTGTAGAGGATGTTACACAGACGACGAGACGGCATACCACATACTCTGTGAATGTCCCGCTCTAGTCCAACTGAGACCAGAGAGATCCATGTTGGGGGAATCCTGGCCGGACATGGCTACGATTAGAGCCGCCTCCCCTTCCAGCGTCCTAAGGTTCATCTCACGTGTGGGATGGCTTGAGTGATGCTGAGGGGTCGGGCGACCCTAGTCAGGGAGGTAGTACAAAGGGCCCGAATTTGAGGCCTAAGTACGCGTGGACACTGTTCACCCTCCTATCGTAATCCAGAATCCAGAATCCAGAAAGTAAGCAAATGCGTATACTTTCAAAATTCAAAGTAAATACTCGTAAGTACTCCTTCACACTGGGCGACTTAGCAGCGATTCTAAGCAGAAGGACAGGACGCAGTGCAGCGCTGCTAAACCATGCTAAACAGACCAGTATGAAGGGGCAGTTACGAGTATTTACTTTGAATTTTGCAAGTATAAGCATTTGCTTACTTTTATTCATACGGGCCAATGAAACATCGAAAAGGAAAAGGAAAGCTCCAAGACGGTTATTGACGTCTTCCGAGCACTCTTCAGAGTCGGGATCAGAAGAGGACAAATTGCCCAGGAGGTTCCCTCGTCCGAAATCGTCAAATCTTGAATCTCAGTCCAGTTTTATACGTATGTACCTATATTTTTGTGTTGTTATCCACATACACTAGGTACTATGCATACTGAAAAAAATTATTGTTACCAGGCGAAGAACAACAACGGAATACATCTCCTTCATCTGCGGGAACTACTCGTTGCGATACACATCGCAATACGCCTACTTCTAGCGCTACTAGGAATGATTTTGAGGATAAGTTACTAAGATTAGTTTTGCATATGAAGCACCAGAACCAACAAATTTTGTCGTGGATACAGTGCCAACAATCGCCATCAGCACCATCTGCAGTTCCTTGCTCCCTACCAGCAAATGTACCTATAAACTTCCCGATAAGCACATTTAATGATTTTAACATCTTTGAGGAGTATTTACGAGAAACTACTAATTTAGAAGCTGTTGTAAGTAACACAATTTGTTAGATGAAATAAGTACGAGTACTTAGGATTACATTAAATTACAAACATAAAATTAACTCTTCACTGTTTTCTTTTGTTTTAGTGTGACTATTTGTCTACAGTGGGTGGTAAAGATGCCACTACAACCACAAACCGAATATTAAAACGCTGCATCAGCAATAGCTTGGCCACTAAATTTAGTTTTTTTGGGAAAAGGCAAAATAAACGAGCAATAAACGACACTCTCTTTAAGGATCTAGTTATTCGTAAGTTAAATTTTGTATAATTAGTAGCTGTTAAACGATTTAATGATAATTAGGTGCAGTTAAAAAATCACAACTTACTGCAACAGAGCAAGATGTTGAAAACATTTTAAAAGCTTGGCTGAAACATGCTCCACAACGTGTTAAACTAGAATCGAAATAGGAACTCCAGTGACGTCGGGATGGTGCATAGGTAGAGATTTGATTTTTATGAATTTTATATGAATTGCCTTTTTGTTACATTATTTTTGGTACTAAGTAAGATATAGTTAAATAGTTATTGTAAATGCACAGTTCATGATAATGAGCCAACGTAAGAAAAAACAATTTATTTCACATCGACAAATTTATAGAAGAGTAAATCATGATATGCTTAGCATTGGAAAAGAATCAACGTCTTTTACTGAACAGGAAACTTCAGTTAGTCTTAGTCATGTTGAAGCAGCATCATATGAAACCAAAAGTCACAATCACGGAAGTGAAAGTTCTAATTTATCTGAGGATAACTTTTCTCAAGTAGATTTTGAAAATGATAATGTTGATTCAGAAAATGAGGAATGTAGTTTTTCTGAGGCTGAAAATGTACAGGAAACTCAATCAACTTATATTTCAAACCAAAATTGTACTGATGAGCAATGTACTGCTCCAAATGATTCTATGACACTTATCAACGATCTCAGAAAATGGGCAATTCATTCTAAAGTTCATCATTCAGCAGTCAATAACCTTTTGCATGTCCTTTCTAAATATCATCCACATTTACCGTTGGATAGTCGCACCCTTCTTAAAACTAGTAGAAAATTAAATGTAAAACAAATTGGAAATGGTGAATTGTGTTACCTTGGTTTAAAGAAACATTTGAATAACTTCCTTATAAAAAATAAAGATTTCAATTTAAATGAAATAAGAATAAGTTTTAATATAGATGGTCTTCCATTATTTAATAGTTCACCTCTTCAAATATGGCCTATTTTAGGACGTGTAATATCCAATATTAAAAGTGATCCCTTTGTGGTAGCCGTATTTTGTGGAACTTCAAAACCAAAACCTCTTGATGTATATCTGGTATTTAAATCTGCATTACACCATAAAAATTCACAGTTCTGTATGTGACGCACCTGCAAAGGCATTTTTAAAATGCATAAAAAATCATACAGGATATGCATCGTGTGAAAAGTGCAATGAGGTTGGTGAATATGTTAATGGCAGAGTTATTTTAAAATCTACATGTTCCCCAAAGCGCACTGATGATTCATTTAAGTTACACCTGGACTCGGAACATCACACTGGTGTGTCTCCATTAACTAAACTACCTATTGGGTTAGTAAGCCAGTTTCCTATAGATTACATGCACAATATCTGTCTAGGGATAATGCGCAAATTATTAAATTTTTGGATGAGTGGCCCCTTACCAACAAGATTAGGTTCAAAAACAATAAATGCAATGTCAGCTCGTCTTGAATCATTACGAAACTACATTCCTGTGGAATTTAATAGAAATCCGCGCTCATTGTCAGAATTACAGCGATGGAAGGCCACAGAGTTTCGATACTTTTTACTTTATTTAGGGCCTGTTGTACTAAATAACTTAATTGATCCTTCGCTTTATGAACAGTTTCTGCTGTTGCACAGTTCAATTACAATTTTGATCTCTTCCAAACATATTTCAAATCTTGGAAGTGCATTAGCAAAGGAACTATTAATTTTGTTTATACAACATTGTGAAAGTGTGTACGGAGAAGAATTTTTAATATATAATGTCCATATGCTTTGTCATATCAGTGATGACGTGGATTTATTTGGAGCACTGGATAACTTTTCAGCCTTTCCCTTTGAGAATTGCTTAGGGAGGTTAAAATCTTTGATAAAATCTCCTCGCAAACCATTACAACACCTATGTCGTAGACTTTTGGTGCTTGAATTTAGTTTTACTGTGCAAGAAAGTAATCCATTACATTCCTTGTTAGTACAACATGATCATTGCAATGGTCCATTACCAAGTGATAAATCCATCAATGATTTTAAGCAGTTTAAACGACTTTTTCTAAAAACATTTACTCTCTCTGTTCATTCATATTCAAATGCTGATTCTTACTGCATCATTGGTAACAATGCCGTTGTGCAAATTCATAACATTCTAGTTAATGTAAAAAATGAAATATTTGTGGTTGGGAAACAATTTAAATCTAAAACTTCATTGTATAAATATCCATTTGAGTCGAAAAAATTAAATATATACGTTATTAATAATTTGTCCAATAAATATGAAGTTTGGTCTGCTACAACATTAATAGGGAAATGCATAGTATATCCTGTTCCGTCAAAAAACAGTACTGTATCTTTTCCAATTATTCATTCATTGTGTGAAACTCTATTTTTTTGTATACATATATGTATGTATATATCTTATTATTACTGTATTGAATCAATCATTTTGTATTTTTTTAAATAAATAACGTGACTTGTGACCATAGTTTTTAATGAGCTGAAACCGTTGCCTTGACGCGAAGTATAAGCAGTACTGCCCTACTAAGCACAAAGGGGGTAACTGCAATTTTTGGGGAAATTGAGAAATCGATGCCAAGTGACTCCTTGCGGTTTAATGTGCCTAATACTAAGGTATTATAGTTGTATCTTCGCCTGAATATTAACAAACATGCGTATTTCGTTAGCCGTAACTACCTTTTTTGCTTGAATTACTAAAGGCTTTGGGAGTAAGTACAGATTACTAGACAACTGCAGCCGTAACTACTGCAGATAAGGCGTTTTGCCTTAGCAAACGTCACATACTACATTTTTTGCTTTAGTAAAGTATCACTTGCCCCCATTATACTCTAGTAAGTGGACGTCATTTTTAACCTTAATAAACAGCTGCAGTAAATTAATAAGTGCATATCAGGCAGCGTCAGTGACTGTGTTTCTGAGTATTATTATTATAATTAATAATAAATTCACTTCGTTACATTTACATTGTTGGTTTAACTGATGGCTTCACGAGGTAAACATTTAGTGAGTTTGTGTATTGATCAACGAGAAAAGTTGAAAACGGCTACGGTGACAAGTACTTCAAAAGCTAATACCGCCTCCAACAACGCAAACCTTCATCAAGGCAACTCCAACGATCCTCGTAATGATTTTAATCTATCTGAAGCTAAAGATACGGAAACTGATCATTTATTAGGCGATAGTGATTTGTGTGTTTCTGCGCCTACCACCAGTGCAGCAGCAGTTATACCTGATGGCATATATATAATTAACGATAACGGATATTTGGATCCAGTTATTGACTATATTGAGACTGAAATAGATGTTGATGGTATTCAGATAGATGGTCTTCAGTTACCTTTCGATGAAATACGTACAATTAATCAACCTTGCATTTCTTCAGCTGAGGATAACCAAAATTTCAACAATGGTATGTATCAGTATTAATGTTAGTCCGAGTGTTAATCCAATTGAATTAGGAGCAGAAACTGAAGTTACATCAGATAATCCTACTGTAAATAAGGTTGTTCCTGAAACCCCTAGTGATCCAATACCGGAAGCTCAATTAGAAATTGATTGTGGACTTACCAAGACTGGAAACCCAAGAAAGAGAAAGAAATATTTGTTGTCGCGAACCGAAAGGAATACAATTAAGAAAAGAAAAGCAATGGAGGGGCACAATGTAAAACAATCATGTCCAGTTACCTGCAAAGTCAAATGCTCTTCAATTATAACTCCTGAACGACGAAAAGAGATTAATAAACAGTATTGGTGTCTTCCTACAACACAGGAAAAGAAAACATTTGTTCTGAGTTCCGTAAGCAAAAAGCCGGTAACCAGACGAACAACATGCAGTCCAAACTCAAGGCGTTCTTTTACCAATGAGTATTTTCTAAAAAATGCGGATGGTACCTCACTACGCGTGTGCAAGACGTTTTTCTTAGCTACATTAGGCTATGAAAAAAATAATGACAAAATCTTGCAGAGCCTTTCTAAGCAAACGACCAACATTTCATCCAGTCATGATAAAAGGAAAGGGCGCATTCCAGCAAACAAAGTTGATCATGAGGTTATTGTAAAACACATCGAATCTTTTGAACCCTCAATTTCTCACTACAGGCGTGAGCATGCGCCTAACCGTAGGTATTTACCAAGCGACTTAACCATTACAAAAATGCACGAAGATTTTGTAAAAAAGCATCAAAATTTTAAATGTTCTTATGATCTGTATAGAAGTGAGGTATCAAAGTTAAACATCTCGTTTGTGAAACTTGGTCATGAACAATGCGAACGATGTGAACATTTTAACCTACATGAGCACAACAAAGAAAACGTACAAATTGAGAACTGTGAAACTTGCAAAATCTACGATTCTCACATTAAGAATGCTGGTGCTGCAAGACAAGACTACAAGAATGACTCCGCTAAGGTATCAAATGAAGATGAAATTATTTACTCTGTCGATATGCAAAAAGTCATAATGCTACCAAGATGTGACATGTTCAAAAATGTCATTTTTACCACAAGGCTAACTGTATATAATGAATGTTTTGTTCCTGTTGGGACCAAATCGAAACGTCCAACGGTGGCATGTGTATGGCACGATGCAATTCGGGGAAGGAATAAAGAAGAGCTAATTAGCACTGCATACAAATTTTTTTTAACTGAAGGACGTGATGTTAAAACCATAATTCTGTGGATGGACAATTGTTCCTCGCAGAACAAAAACTGGGCATTTCTTACACATCTTGTTTTTTGTGTCAACTCAACTGAAATATCTGCTGATACAATCCACATAAAATACTTTGAAACAGGACACAGTTTTATGTCGGCGGATTCGTTTCACCATAGGGTAGAAAAATCATTACAACAATTCAAGAAAGTGTATGACTTCGAGGATTTTAAAAAATGTGTTCAAAGTGCCTCTTCAAAAGTTGCAGTAGCTGAGATGAAACCAAGCGACTTTTTTCAATGGGTAGACTGCAGCATTAAAAGAACTACCAAAAAGAAAAATAATACGACACCTAATACAAAGAAAAAACACTCATCTGTTGAATGTTCTGATGCAAAGGAACCTTTGCCTTATTTAAAGGAAATGAATCAAATAAAGGCGATCAGGGGTAAAATGAATCTGTATTATAAAAGTTCTTTTAATGAGAATGACGATTGGAAAGAACTTCATTTTCTTAATGCTACAACTTTAAAAAAAGGTTTGAAGGTCCCACCAGCACACGAAATGCCGATAGGAATTTCACATAAAAGAAAAACCTCCATTTTGAAAGAACTAGTTCATGGGAAAAAAGCTATTATACCAGAAAACCGGTTTCCGTTTTGGGAAAATCTACCAGAGAGGCCAGGTGACAACTAGTTAGTGCACTAAGTAGGACTATCGATTACAGATGGGAAGTTTTGTTATTCTACTCGCACGTTTAATTAGGCTATCATGCTGTAACCTTATCTCTAGCTTAGTATTTGGGTGTGTTTCGTATGTTTTAATAAATTAGTTTTTTTTAGTACTACCATGGTATTTCATTTTATTTTAGTGATGTACGATCTTAATCATTTTGCTTCATTTCCTAATTATTTGTATTATTTTTATACATTTACAAATCGTTATATATGAGTCAATTTTGACCTCCCTTAAAAATAGCTCCCTACTTTGTCTATTATAGACTATTCCCTCTATTTCGGACAATAAAATACTCAGGAAACTTGGTTACATGTGTATTTACTAAACCAATTCAACCGTAAGTACGCAGATACTACTTAGCAATTCTAGTTTTTTGTACTTACGCTAAATGATCTTAGTATTCCAACATTGGTTTAATTTTTTGGTCAGTTGTAAATGCAGTTATAATTATAAATGAAGGTTTATAGTTACAAAACGTTGGTTTCAAATAGGCGAAACAATTTTTAATTGAATAACTATGATTTGATATATTAAGCCTATACAAAAGCAAAAATGGATAACATACAACTTTAGACCTCCATTTCTCAAGTTTACCTCTGTTGTAGATACCCCCTCTGTGCTTAGCAGGGCAGAGTAATGTCGTTGATAAATCGTCTTTTTGGCCTTATTTTTAGGTCTATTTTGATGTGTTAAGGTCATTTTAAGGTGATTAGTATCGTCATATATGACGTCATTTCTGTACGTCATTACCACTTAATATGTGACGTCATGGGGCTGTGACATTAGGAAGTCATTATGACTGACTTCAAATATCACGTGAATAGGACAAAAAGGATGACCACAATTAAACGTCATAAAGACGTAGTGTGCTGGCTGGGTAGATACAGCTTCGAAGGGAGGGTAAAAGAGATTCGGCAGCTATTGTTAAAGAGTTATGTCTCAGTTCACCGACAAGAGGTACGTCCATAAAAAAAGCACGTAAACATGTTGAAGGTCCAAAAAAGGTAGCGATGTCGGAAGATGAAGCTCTCGCATTGATGGTCGATGCAAATCTAATAACACATCAATATAATTTCATTCGCCATCAATCTAACGTTATAAACAGTAAAATGTATCCATCTTATAATAAAGTTAAAGCGGCAAAACAGTTATGCTACCCCAATGATATTGATGTTACTGAAACATATGCCGAAGTTAAATTACAATCTTTAATAAATCATACTGTAGCAAGATTATGCAGAGCCCAAGAAGAAGCCCTGAAAACAATTACCACTTCAGAAAACTTAAACATAATTATTAAGTGGGCGCAAAAAAATCTTGACGATTAAAATGCGCATGCGCAAGCTGCGCAATACCAACTTTCTTATTGATGGAGATATTTCTTTGAAATGAAATGCGTCTATAGTAAAGAAAAATATAGCGCACATAGACATAGCTATGGCCTTTTGGGAAGTACTGATGAATGCATGGAAAATGTATAACAGTTTGTTTCGTTCTCTATGTTTCTTCCGTATGTATGGTTGGTTGCCTGTTAGAATACAGATTCAGTATTTAAATTTTCAAAACCAGTATTGTCCTTGTCCTTGTGATAACATTCCTTTACCTTTTATCTTCTTTTCCGGTCACTTTTGATTTAACAATCGTCTATCCTGCATGGGTTTTATCAATACGCTTGAAAATTTGCATCCCTTAATTATATAAGGATCTCCAAGTTTATTGGTGAGATATTTCAAGTATACTATCCATTGGAAACATCGTAGTAGCTCTGTGGTAGTATTTTTGGATTTTCGCTTTGCGGTTCTGTAACCACATGGGGGTTGGCGTCTACTTTTAGCTCGATTACCACCTTAAGAGGTATGTTCTATTGCTCTTTACCTTCTCTTATATACGTTCCTTACAGCTTTTTGTGTTGGATTGATGGTACGTCCAATAACGACATCCCGTACCTAAAAGTTAGGTTTATTTACGTCACGTTAGTCGTGAATGTACCCTCTTCCGTTTTCTCTCTCTCTCTACGACTGATATCTTGCCGCAAACCAACGATACCTGGATCACCGGTTACCTTCCGATTCAACGTGCTATCCTGCACCTGTCCGTTTAGTGTAGCGGAGTAACCACTACAACCAGCAAAGGAAGTAGATGTCAGGTAGCCAGTCCTTACCTCCAGCTTGATCGTAATCACGGGCAAGGTCAGACCGTCTCTGTGTGTGCGTCCTAGTGTTGTCCTAAAATATTAGTTATAATGAGGTTACGTTCCTCGATTTATTTATAAAACAGTACTTACATTTGACCTATAAGTTTGTGTACCCAACGATTCTTTAATTTATGTTATTATTGTAAATCTTTCCGGTTAACATAACCACTACTAGCACTGTCACTTTTTGTCGCTATATGTAAACAATACATCTGTCATACCTTGACAACAAGTAAAAGTGTAAGGAGTACACCAAGGAGCACCCCAAAATTTCCTTGTTGTAGAATACCCGCTGTCAGGTGTGTTTTAGGGTACCCGTGTAAAGAAAAGGCCTTTTTTTATTTACCGTCAGGTCCCTGTGCGTCATTTACCCTTTTTACGAAATTGGTTTACATATATATTTAAGATCACTTGGTTGCGACCCAAACGAAATTTCGCTGTACCGTCATTCATTCCCCTAACCTTCTTCCTTCCTCTTTGCATTTAATTTTCAATATTTATTTCCGGATTATTCCATCTGTGGAAGTTATGATTTATTTTTGAGTTATTAAAATTTACCAAACGTAACTGTGGTACATATGGTCGTATTTACTTGTTGCCTATCCTTCTGTATTCTCTTTCAGGATTTTCTGTGTTTAGTCTCTTTCCTTCCTTTTCCTTTAAAACACAGTGGCGCTTCTTGTCAATCTACCCCCGCGAATCCCTGAGCTGAGTGACCATCGCCTCCAGAGTAGAGCTAGACCGGAGCAATACCGGTCCTGGTTTGCGCCAAAACCAAACTGTTATAAATGTGCTGAAGTTACCCGCCTTTGGGCGAAAACCTTTTTACTTGTTTACTTACATGTTATTACATATTGTCTTCCATAATGTACCTACTTGAACATCTTTTCAGACTTTATTCGCTGGCGGCTAAATTCACAGGAGGGAAGCGCATAAATTATACAATGAGGGATTCCTATACCACCAGAATGTATGGAGCGGCGCTATCCCACTTACTAGGTCCAAGGTGGGACCTTGGCCCATGGGCACGACTTATGTCAGATCGTTGTGAATAAGCGGAACAAGAAAATAATTAGGCAAAGGGTGTATAAACGAGCAAAAAGTATTAATTTTTTTTTATACAGGTGGGGAAATGCATTACGCACACTCCGGATAGAAGTCCGGAGTAGTGTGGGACTCTCCCATTATCAGGGTATATCCACTAAAACCCCACCTGAGGCTTCGGTATCTATGGCCATTAGCCTATACTTATACTACCGTACTACAATATCACAGTTTCTGTACACACAAAACAAGACAGGCGTGATTACATTTACTCATTTACTACACAAATATACATAAAGACAAAAATTTAAAAATATCACAGATGGTTTGCAATACCAATTTGTTGGATGAACGCAAGAGTATTTTTACACTGCTCTTCATTTTTAAAGTTATTTTCCCATATCGGGTTTATATTAAATAGCACACGTACATCCATATACTGCGGACAGATAGAAATTATGTGATGTGGTGTTAAATTAACACCACATTATTCGCATAATGGCCGGTCTTCACCTGCCAACAAATATCCATGAGTGAGAGCAGTATGCTGCCCCAGACGGAGTCTGTACAGCCTGATCAAGTCAAACGTCGAACGTCGATATAGAAAAGCGGATCCAGACATAGGTTGATCCTTTCAAAGCACGTATCCAGACTCCGACCACTGCCTCAATTCCACCGGCTCATAATTTTAACAACGTCCACGCCGTGCAGGTAGATGACATACTCGTGAAGTCAATATTTTTCGCAATTGGATGTGTTTAATACCTCTCTAACCCCTAACACCTAACGATCTACTATCTGTATAGGACGAGCCATTGTATAGTCGTCATTCAGAATTTGGATGGTGATCATCTAACCTTACTTTTAATGTACTATCGGAGTAAAATGTAGATAGAGTCCGCTCACTTTGAAGGCTCAAATCTCAAAATCGCTGGAGCCGATATTAATGAAATTTTTGGAACGTATCAATTGGTAAGTTGTTGTTAACATACGTAAATTGTAAATTTTGGCTGCCAGGACTTTTTACGTTATCGAATTTTCCTCACAAAAAAGTACTCTAAAATGCGTGATTTGTCGCGATGCTCAACTGTACAGGTCCATAAATAGTTTATTTTTCCACGAAAATTCATACATTTCGGGTATTACATAACCCAATTCTTGCTGTAGCTATTGTAGAAAAAATTATGGAAATATCTTGTTCCCTTTTTGCGTAATTAGCGGAAAAGCAAAAACATTGCAACGCAGCTATTATTGAAGGAAACGACTTCATTCTTTTTTTATAAGATGAATAAAATAGCAAACGTCATAAATGCGTACATATTGTCTGAAAACAACGTGTGGATGTTTGTTTTTGTGTAAATTAGCCAATACTCTACGTACGAAACAAGATGAATAATAATCTGCGGTTTTCATGTGTGATGTGCGGCAAACATGTTTTGTTTAACTGGAGCGTTACAATACAATAACCACAGATGGCCATGGCCAATGTAATGTAAATTGTCATTATTATTCTTTCGTGGGTACCTACAGGAACACATGTTTGATAAACATATATATTATTCAAAACCAGAAAAATGGATTGTGGTTCATAATATTTTCTTACATTCAAATATATAAAGGCCCATTGCTCATCCAGAACTACATTAACAGTTTAGTTGTCACGACGTACCACTATATCTATAATAAATAATAAAATGCCTCGTTATGTGTCCGTGGAGTTTAAAGAGATTGTTGTGAAGGTAAAAAGGTTCTTCGAAGAAGAAGAAATGAATGGTGTAGATCGAGTTCGGCTCAATCAAGTAACAAAACGAACTGCGCAATGCTTGGGAATTAGCGAAAAAACAGTTCAAAGGGTGTCCAATGAAGCAAGTATCAGTGGTATAGTTTCAGGACCAAAACCAAAAAGTGGTAGACCTAAAATAGAGATCGATGATTTTATGAAGGGCGTTATAAGACGACAAATATTACATTTTTATATGGAAAAACGGTTTCCAACCATAGCCGAACTCTATCAACGACTGAAAGATGAGTGTCCAGATTTTCCGCAAGTGTGCAGCACCACAGTAAAAAAATGGGTAAAAGATATGAATTTTATCTATCGCAAATTGGAGAACAGGCCTATTTTAATGGAAGTGAATGCAATAGCTGCTAAAAGAGCCGAATATCTATACGCCATCAAAAGATATAGAGAAACGGGTTGGAGTCTATTTTTTACAGACGAAACATGGTGTGGCGCAAACCATTCAAAAAAATTTGGTTGGGTGGAATATATAACCCCGGAAAACCGCGACAGCTTTGACCAATATCGAGGAACCATTCAAGAAATCAATGGGTGAAGGGGTGGAATCAAACGACCTTCTGGAGCTGGGCAACGGATCATTATATTTGACATCGGCAACGAAAACGGTTTTTTACCAGGATGTAGCAAATGCTTCATTGGGAAGAAAGGGTCAGCAGATTATCATGACGAAATGAATAAACAGCATTTTAAGGAATGGTTACGATATGTCTTGGGGGTGATTCCCGATAAGTCAGTTATTGTACTTGATCAAGCACCTTACCATACAATGTTGAATCCTGAATTTCGAAACCCAACAACTGCATGGAGAAAAGCAGACATAATTGAATGGTTAAATAAGCGAAAAGTTCAGGTACCAGAACACTTCGATACATTCGATCAAATGACAAGGCCTTCACTTTTGCAATTATCTCGCATGTAGGTACAATTACAAAAAACAGTATTTTCTGGAGAAAGTGGTAAACGATGTTCGACAGGATAAAGTGAAGCTTTTATGGCTTCCAGTAGCCCATTGTGAGTTCAACCCCATTGAATTGATATGGGCGTATGTCAAAAATAAAGTTGCAAAGCTAAACACAACATTCAAAATTAAAGACGTATTAGACCTCTGCAAAGCAACATTGGAAGATGTGCCAAAAAGCGTTTGGGCTAATTGTGTTCACCATGCCAAGAAAGTAGAAGATATGTACCGAGAAAAAGAGAATTTAATAGATGTCGCCATAGAACCTTTGGTAATAAATCTCAACGACGAGGATAGTGATGACGCAGTTATCGACTTTGATGAAGATGATCTCGAAGAACATAGCGATAAGGATGATAATGAATGTATATGAGTTGACTGATTAATACAGAATAACAATTTCATGCATATATTACTTAACCGTGTACTTAGCGTGTGTGCCGCTTTATACGAAACGTTGCTGCAAGGTACAACTTTGCGATTAAATGACCTTCCCCCCAACTCCGCTCGAGGTGTTGCGTTTATCTCTTTCGCTCAAAATATATTAATTCCTGCAGCCCTTAACATTTTTTGTCATTGATTCTATTCCGTGATCATATCATTTGTAAATTGTAATTGTCCTTTATCGATATGAACAAAACTTTTTAAAGTGTATCTTATAATAAGCAAATAAACGCGTCTGTCATTTTATCGCTGTAACGTTTGCGTAATTATACAGAAATGCATAAAAATGTATCGACGTATAGTTAAAGGTGTATTCTATCACATACGTAAATATTATCCCATTTGAGTGAATACTTTTTTTGTAATTAAATCCTAAAGTTCTGAGTTCGTATACTTTCATTGAAAAAGCGCGCTTTCCCGTACATATTTCACTATCACATTTTCCCAAATTTAACAAGAAATATGACATTACGTACGGATACGTAGAAATAGTTGACGATTATATTACGCTTTATTTGATAAAAATCGGTTGGGTAGTTTTTTTTTTATAACCGTTTAAAGCCAGCGGACTCTACATTTTACTCCGATTTAGTAGTAATTAGTAACAATCTGTTTCCGGCGAAGAGCTAGAGGGGGAATATTTGCCTCGACGTAGAGCGATGGAACTGGACTT